AAAAGTGCCACCCAAAAATAATGGTTGTGTTCAAATGTAATACATTTAAAAATATAGTTTTTGAAATGAAATTCAGCGCTGTTCCCTTTGAACTACACAGAAGTCAACAGGGTTATGAATAGTGAGAATTCATCTTCCAGGAAAGTTTTTAAAAATCAGAAATAAGTAGTTAGCCTTAAAATCTGACTTCCTGGGTCGTCCTCCTCCTGCCTCACCCCTACCCCCTTATTAGGTTTCTTTTTCACATACAGAAAACATGAGGGGGCCATCTGAGAATGTCTTTCTGAAAGCTAAGAAAAGGGAGAAGTCAAAACTGAGAAAATTGGGGGGAGAAGACATCAAAGAAAAGATACAGCATGCGCACCCAGAACGTGAGTTGGTGAAGCTTGTCCGTGCCCCCGGGATGGAGACCCCAAGGATGCTGGCAGCCAGTGCCTGCCGTCTCCCCAGCCCAGAGGCAGTCTCTGTGAGGACCAGAACCGGGACCCTGCCTGCCACTGTCTCACAGGCCACATGCTCCACCAGGGGACGAGTATGAGGGACAAGCGTAGCCATACGTGTGTTGTGTGAGTTACAGGGAGAATTCATACAGCAAGCCTGGTGAAGCTCAGACAGTTGGCTGCCGTTGCATTGTGAGTCTGTGATCTCTCGGAGAGGGGGAGATTGTTTACCAACGTGTGAGCTGGCGGGGGCATGCTTAACCTACTTAAAGAAAAGTTGGGTTTAAATACATCTTTTTTTAAATAGCATTTTCCTTGATCATAAAATCAATGTACTTCAAGTCTAGAAATATTGGAAAATTCAGAAAAATATAAAGAGGAAAATAAAAACTACTTGAAATCTTAACATCCAGAGATTACATAGAACAACATAAAGAAGACAGTAAAATCGTCATATAATTCTGCCTCCACCTTCTGGAGATAAGCACTGTTAATAGGTGTCCTGTATTCTTCTATAAATGCACACAGGAATACGTAGCCTACATAAATGGGATCAATAATGCTGTTTTTAAGCCTTACTTTTTAATTATCAACATAATAAGAACTTCCATAACTATACATCTACAACATCATTTCAATAGCTCCAAAATAAGGAATTTTTCTAGTCGTCATAAACGTATTTTGTAAAATATATCTATGTGTATTTTTTTTTTTTTTTTGCAAGGAAGATCAGCCCTGAGCTAACATCCATGCCAATCCTCCTCTTTTTTGGCTGAGGAAGACTGGCCCTGGGCTAACATCCGTGTCTATCTTTCTCCACTTTATATGGGACACCACCACAGCATGGCTTGACAAGCGGTGCGTTGGTGCGCGCCCAGGATCCGAACCCGGGCCGCCAGCAGCGGAGCGCGCGCACTTAACCACTATGCCACGGGGCCAGCCCCTATGTGTATTTTTTTAATGGGGAAAAAGTCTAAACGGATATACACTTTTAGTAAGAAGAAAGACTTATGTGGATGGCTTATTTTCTATGTTTTTCAAATAATTACACTCAAAATAACCACAGCTAATATTTTGTTATATTTCCTAAAAATTTTTAAAGTATATCTTAAAACATCATGGGAATCATGCTGTATATAGACTTTTGCATCCTGATTAAATCTCCTCTTGGTGTCCAGTGGGCATTTGCCTGTATCACCGATGGCTACGTGATATTCTTTCCTGTAGGGATGCTGTGATTTTCTTTCATTCCTCTATTATGGACTATTTGTATGGTTTCTGACTTTTTGCAGTGTAATGCTGTGATGAATAGTTGTGCCACTGAATTAGTTTGTTTCCCTGTCTGAATACTCCTTAGGATTCAATCTTACAAGTACAGTCACTGAATCAGAAGGTATAAAATTTTTAAAGCTCTCATTGCATATGAACAGGCTGGTTTTAAGAATTTCATTAATTACTCTCAAATAAGTTCTTGCTCCTTGGTTATCATAAAATGGGTGCTGCAGATAATCGTTATTTTCTTATTTATTTTTAAAGCAGATCTTTTTGTCCTATTCTTAGAAATATTTATGAATAGTTAATTACAAATATATCTGAACATAAAAGCCATTCTTTTTCCCCTAAATTTTTCAAAATAATTTTAAAATTAAAGGTAACCAATCATCTTAAAGTTGAAAAATAAAGAAAAAATATCACCATTATTGTTTTCTCAAATCTCCCTCCATTTTCTATGAATTTGACGTAGTTGGAATAAAAATGGATGTAGTTTTTGTATCCTGCTTTTTAAACTTAATGTTCTATTGCAAGGATTTCTTCCATGTTGCTATAGTCTTCATAACTATTATTTTTAATGACTACAAATTATTCCTTTGACTTCATGTACCATAATTTACTTACCCATTCCCTTACTGAACACTTAGGTTATTTCCGAATTTTTACTTTTATAGCTCCGTGGTGAATGTGGACTGTTTCCTTAGGTTTGAATCCCCAAAGTAAATGACTGGGCTGAATTAAAATTTTTGTTCATTCAGAATTTTCACTAATTCACACTGCCCTGTCTTCTAGATTTGTCTTAATTGTTGAAGCTTTATTCCAATGACCACATGAAATTCAGGACGTTCCCATTGGCTGAGCACCCGGTAGCTGCTATGATGTCCTTAGTAACCAAAGTGGTCAGATTGCTGTCCCGTTTGCAAAGTGACCCATATGGAGCTCTGGATGTTTCAGACAAAAACAGAACACTTTTCTTCTGTGCCCTGTTGGTACTACAGTCAACGCACTCGGCTGCCACTCACAGAAACCTTTTATTCCACAGCCTTTGCCAATGTGGAAAGAAAATATACAGAGGCAGGGAGGTAATCATTATGGAACGCCCTCCTTTTTTTTCTTTTTCTGTTTCCTTTTGTGAGAACATCATCAACTCAGGATGGAAATGCACTTACAGTGTCTCCGTTCTGCTCAAGCAAACTCTAGCGACTTCATTTTCAGAAATGCAAAATGCACGAAGTTCTAAATGCTTCTTTGTTGACCGTGAGTGGTGTGGTTTGGCCCCCAGAGTTATCTCAGATAGCACAAATAAATCTGGCGGCTTCCAGTTGTCTCCAACTAAGCAGTACCTCCTTCCCCCCGTTGTCTCCCTCCTTGCAGAATTTCCTCTTGGCCTTCAGCAGCACAAACTCAGTCTTCTCATCAATATGCCTTGTTAACTGCTGCCAAACCTCCAGCACTTTAGTGCATATGTTCCCTTAATCATTTCTCTTTGTTCTAGAAGTCTGTGTTTGGTTTCTGAACCTCACCCCCCCTCCCCAGCCTAATTCCACCATCACCATCGCTGGCTATAGACATGACTATCTACCATCTACGTGTTTATTTAAAGAACATCCTAGATTGCCTGCCATCAAGAGAGCCTTCACAATCTGCTCACAACGTGCTAAATCGTCCCCCGCTTCCCATGGAAAAGTTTGTTAGCTGTCCCCCCCACCCTGAGCCTGAGCCCGCGGCCTTAGGAGCCCAGGTGAAGGGTTGCCGCAGCTCTCTGGAAAGCAAGAGGTTCCTAGAAGACAATGGTACTTCCCTGCACGGACAAAGATTCCTTCTTAGGATTTTCTGCTGGTCCAACACAGGAAAAGGACGCTTTATTCTTAGAGCCCAACAGCGTATAGGCACAGTCGATCTCAATGGGTTATTCATGGTGTCCAAGAGAAATACTTCTGGAGTTGTATTTCATGTGAGATGGAAGTGGGCTTGGCACCCGGGCAGTAGGGCAGCCTGCTCGCTGGGAGTGCCCTGTGCCCGTCAGACCCAGCCCAGCCCCCTGCCCAACATGGCCTGGCTCTTCTCAGCAAGGAAAGGGTCTTCTGGGCCCCTCCTTACTGGGGTCTACACACACACACCGGTGCAGAGCTCTGAGAGCCACTGGTGCACAGAGACACTGGCTGTTTTTCTCGGCTTTTAAGTATTTCTCTTCTCTTCCCATTTGTATAAGTTCCTCCCTGTTCCCTGAGCCCGGAGGAGGGGATGAAGAGCTTTCAGAGCATGGACTTGTGAGTCCTTTCTTCTCAGCACAGGGGTGCTGCGGAACCCTAGAAACTATTCTTGGAAACTTGATGTTTATACAAAATACCATCTCTCCATCATCCCTGTGCTTGTCACTTCCCTCCCCAAAAAAGTATTGCAGAGAGGCCCCAGCAGCTGCACTGACAGTGGGCAAGCCTGACTTTTGCTTTATTTAGTAAATCCTGCCACGAGCTATGCCTGCTGAGTCCCGTATCAGCACCACCCGGGCATGCAGAGGAAAACCTTCCTCACTCGGAGTAAAAATATGTAGAACGTAGCAGGGAGGAAATTCTCAGAGTGCGGGACTTTTTTCCTTTCCTTTTCTGAAAAAAATGTTGACTCGCTGGGTGGAGATATAGTGCCCTTTTCTCACTATCCCCCAAAGGGAAGTTTGTATTCTTTTAAATGAAACCATTTTAAAAGCAGAACTCAAGCCTAAAACGACCCAGGTTCTCCTGAGTTCTCAGAAGGTGTAGATTTATTTACTCCAGTTAAAACATAATTAGTTCTCAGGGGACAGTGTATCTTTTAAACGGCTTTATTGCCACCATATTGGTTTTGTGAATAATCAGAAACTTCTGTTATGATTATGTTCTAGTGTTCGGACAGAAACACACCGTAAGTAGAAACAAATGTGAGGAACTGCTAGTTGTCACTCGAAGAAGGGACACCACATCAGAGGGGGAATAAAGAACTTGATAGGATATTCCAAAGAAATATAATCTAGCAACGTCTTAAATGAACTAACAGCTCAGGCAGGTACACATGCCCCTCCCCACCTCCACCCAGCCCAATCTTTTTTGATATTAAATGGTGTTTTCTTGTCCCTTTTCTGTCATTCTCACCACAGAGGCTGGGAATGGGGTCAGTATCCCTTGAAACCGGAAGGTGGCCCTTCCTTACCCACACAGTCACAAATGAGTACAAACAATGTCCCTCATTTTGAGCTGTTGGTTCTCATGTCCGTCTCTGTTCTGGCTGACCAGTCTTTCCCACCGTTCACAGGTTGATGTTTGAGATGCCGCAGGAAATGGGGTTAATAGCCATCGCAGCCCGCCAAACGCAGGGCAAAGGTCAGTCATCTTTTGTTATTGTTTCTGTTGTTTTTGTTTTCTGAAATCTGTGACTCTCATGGCCAGAGAGCCGAGTGTGTGTGCCAATCGCTGAGACGCCTCGAGTTAGAAGTCGTTTGTTGTCACACCCCCTAAAACAGAGGAAGAGGGAGGGAAGTTGATCAGAAGACTGAGCCTTAGTAGAATTAAAGCAGTCTCTCAAACTGAGATGTTTATTAATCACTTGACATTCGCTTGTGATGGTGGTAAGATTCGGTTACCTACATCCTGTAAATTCTACTTTCTGACGCGTTCTAGGCATTGTAGTGTGTGAATCCTAACTGTGTTACAGAGACATTTATTTTCCTGAAGGTTCTCTCTGAGGTGACTTCTGTGTCTACACTGAATGTCACATGGAGGGGCTTTTCATATGCTACCCCCCACCCCAGGTGGCAGTGGAATTTGCATGGCGTGGGCACTCAATCAGTGGTCAATGCTCATTCACAACGTAACCACAGAATGGCCTAGGGCTGCTCAGAGCTTCCACCACCTGCTGACCCTCAGAGGCCAGAGCCTGCATCCTCCCAGAATCCACTTGGGGTCTGGCCAGAGCAGCTTCTGTGCTTGGTGGTGGTGCAGGAGGCACTAGGCCCCTGCCCCTCCCCACCCCCAGCCGGTGCCAGGCCGACCCAAACACGCTTTACCTCTCAGAGGCTCTTAGGCCTTCCTCAGACAAAGCAACGAAATCACACATCAACTGTTTTCCACTTCTTTCTCTGTAACGTGTCTTTTGAACATAAAGAGGAAAAAAAACTCATTTTATCCACAGCTGTGGGGGTCAATATGGTGGTTAAAAAAAGACATAGAAGAACTTTGATTATACCTCTCCTTTTGATTGTTTTATTTTCTTGACTTCTATTTTAAGAAAAATAACTCAAAGAGTTAATATCAGGGATCACTTTTTAAATTTTGCTTCCTTTTCTTTCTTTTTATAACAGTGAGATATAGTTCACATACCACACAGTTCCCCCATTTCAAGTGTACGATCCTGTGGCTTTTAATATATTTTCAGGGTTGTGGGACCATCACCACAATAGGGATCACTTCTAACAAGTGGCTTCCAGGACCCCTCCTGGACCAGTATAGATTCGGTCCAGTTTTCCCACTGTCTCTGCTTTTGCCTGCATTACCATATGGTGAGAATTAAGCCAAGAGTGATGTTCAGACACTGTAAGACTTTGAATCATCAGCGCATAAATTATGCTCAAAGAGGCAGAACATTATGCTAATTATCAGAGACTTGTTCAACATCAGAGCTTCAGATTTTAAAAGCTTCACCGAGTTAACCCCAGAATATCCGAGCGTCCTTATCAGTCCAGGTTTATTCAAGTGGGACACGTCTTGTCTTCAGTGTGTGGTGCTGAGTCCTCAGCACGTTTTCTGGCACAGCGTGAATCTGAGTCCGTCCATGTGGCAAAGTGGGGGTTTCCTGACGGGGCCTGTGTTCCAGGGCGGGGAAGGAACGCTTGGCTGAGCCCCGTGGGATGCGCTCTTTCTACCCTGCTCATCTCCATCCCGCTGAGATCCCAGCTGGGACAGAGGATTCCATTTGTCCAGCATCTGATGTCCCTGGCTGTCGTGGAGGCGGTCAGGTCCATTCCTGAGTATCAGGTATGTGCAGTTTCGTCACCATTACGTCCCCACTGTGCGTGCACACCTCAGCTCAGGTTTGTCTGTAGTACCCCTCTGAATGCTTGCTGTGTGGAGAGCCTCAGGCTGCTCTTTGCAAAGCTGGCAGCAGAGTGCTCCTGGAGTTTGAAAAGCACCGTCAGGTTTTCTAGCTGCTTCAGCCTCGCTGGAATGCGTTTATTCCCCAGAATTCCCTTTCTGTCCTGTCGTCAGATTTCTCAAACATCCTAATAAGGGCAAGCCTTTTTTTTTTTAATTGAAGCACATTGGCCTGGATGGTGGGGCTATTTGTCTGTGTTTTCTGGTGAAAAGGCTTATTTTATAGACTCAAAAAGCCTTCTCATCTCCTACCTTCATTTACCACAGTCCGTGCTCAGCAGAGCCATCCTTTGTCTGCAGCTGTCCGAGTTCAACGTGCAGGCTCGTTTGGAGCCATCCGTCCCGGCTGTAGGGACATGTGCCTGCTTCATTGTTGCTGTCGGGTGCTTTGGTGTCCGTTATGAAGAAGACAAAGAAGAGAGAGCGATTAACAGAGTGGCTGAAGCCTTTTCTCCCATACCCGGCCTCCACTTCCCATATCCCCCTCCTCAGTTTTCCTGGAAGAATTTCACATGGCTATAAAGAGGGGGTTCCTCCCCGCCTCCCCCACCTATAGCTCTTTTGTCAGGCTAAAAACAGTTGTTGTATTAATTCCTGAAACCAGATGCTAAGATCATGACTCTTAAAGGAGGCCTATCATCAGTGTTTAAACACAGAAGCAGCCTCTCCACTGCCCCGTAAGGCCCCTCCAACGCGTCCACATGCTCATAGTCACTGTGTATAGGACTGGGGGACGTGTTTCCGTGTGATGTCAAGTTACCGGCTGGCACGCTGAAATGTGACATTTATTACCAGGCACTCAGCATCCTGGCCGTGTCTGATGGGCTTGGGCATCGGACTGTCACAGACCTTCACAGGCCTGGCCTGCAGCCCCTGAGCTGGGCATTTGGCTTTGTAGAAGGCGATGGAGAAGATAAAGTTCTGTCATGGGGGAAAAGATTTCTAACCCTAGCAACAGGTTAATTCGTCTTAGGAAAATAAATTTAAATTTAAAATTAAAATTAGTCTTCTTAGCTTTTTCATGGCTTTGATTTTGACCTGGTAATTTAGCGAGCATTCTTTGAGTGCCCGCTGTGTGTGAAGGCTGCACAAGGCGCTGGGGGCAGCAGGATGGGAGGTGGGAAGCTTGCCCCCAGAAGTGCACCCGAGGCCATGTGTCCCCCGTTCTCCTTAATAGGCTCCCAGCAAAATTCCTATCCTGTTTCCACAGTTGTCCAGCTCAGCCTCACTTGTGTGATATGACTTTGGTTTTATTCTTATTTTATTTTACTGAGATACAGTTATACAGTACAGTATAAGTTTAAGATGGACAGCATAATGACTTCCATATACCGCGAAATGATTGCCACAATAAGTTTAGTTAACATCTATCGCCTCATATAGTTACAAAAAAAATTTTTTTTTCCCTGTGTTGAGAACTTTTAGGAGAACTCATAGTCTCTCTATTTTTAACAAAGTCCAATTAGCGTACAAGTACAACTATAGGATCGGTGAAATAGGCCCCAGTTGCATAGAGTTCGCCTTTCTTATGTCCTTCACTTGGGCCCTGACTTGTCCTTGCCCAGATGTCACCGCCAGTGCACAAATCATTCCCAGTCTCCTGGACCAGAGGCAGCATCACTAGAATACTCGCCATTCCTTCCAGAACCCCCGGTGGGCTGCCTGCTCTTCTTCCTGCTGCGTCTTCTGTCTGCGAGGTCCTGCTGGCCTCCTGTAGCCCTCTTCCTACCCACACACTCCTGCTTCTGCTCCCTTCTCTGCACCTTGAAGTCCTCTTTGCCCTGGGAGGCCCAGCTCAAATGCCATTCCCGGAACCTTCTAGCCACAAACTCTCCCTCCTATAACACGTTAAGGTATTTTAAATGTCTAAGCCTCTTTGATGGTGTCTCCCAGGGATTGCTCAGAAGCAGAGTTATGTGTGCTCCTGTCCTATCTCCTACAAAAGAACCAGCTCTTTAAATGCACAATCGGTTTTATTTTGGTCCCCAGAGAGCCTAGCACAGTGCTTTCTACATGGGAGGCCCACAGCAGCTGTTTGAATACATGATTGAGACAATGAAAAATAAGCATGTAGCCTTTCTCTTCGTCTTGGAATAAATGTCCTTGTTTACCTGCTTGAGAACCCAGAATTGCATCAGCTGCAACGTGGACTAACCAGCTCTGACAACGTGAAGTGAAACGGAGAGCAGGGCCAGCGCAGAAGTCAGCGGCTGCCCCCGTGGGGGAGGAGCTGCTTCTGAGCTCCGGCAGGGCTGCTGCTGGGCACAGTGGGACACGGGAAGGCAAGAGAGGAGAAAGGAGGGGAATTGGGAGAGTGACCAAGACCAAAGTCTCCAAGTCCAGCTTTTCTGGACCAGCATTTCTCAACCTCAGCACTATTGACGTCTGGGCCCCCACATCTTGGCTGGAGGGTCATCCTGTGCATTAAAGGATGTGGAGCAGCATCTCTGGCCTCTCCCCACTAGACGCCAGTAGGACTTCCTCACGCTGTGACAACCAGAAATGTCGCCCAATATCGCCAGATGTCCCCTGGGGGGCAAAAAGCCACCCCTCACTGAGAACCCTATTCTAGACCCAGGGAGCCTATCAGATCAGGTCATGGTGAACCCCCCATGTTTTATTTGAACTTTTGTTCTTCTGTCCTCCTGCATTTCTTCTCTCAGCCCAGAACGCTGTGCCGGGGCCGGTGAGCTTCTAAAGAACAGAAACGTATTCTAACTGGCCCGGGTGCAAAGAAGGCCTGTTGGCGGGAGCGAGGGGATTTCAGGGAAGCTGCAGGCTACACAGCATAGTATTAAGCACCCAGGGGCTTGGTGTCAGAAAGCCCTGGATTTGAATCCCAGCTCTGCCGCTTCCCAGTGGTGTAACCTCAGGCAAGCCAGGCAGTGTCTTTAAGCTGCAGTTTCTTCTTGTTACATGGGGATGACACCAGCACCAACACACGGGTGTGGTATAAGTAACATACAGACCAGTGCTGAGTCCGGGCTGCATGCCGTGCCAGCCCCATGGGACTCGGAGGCCATCAGCTCATCTCTGGTCTCCGTTTTATCTTGCTAAGTGTCTCCTTCCAGCCTCATGAGTCCAGATGGGCTTCCTCTACCCACACCTGGCTGCCAGCCCCACACCCAGGAGGCCTGCCAGTTCTGGTGCCTACTGGGTCTCCCCTAGTCTGTGTGTCCCAACTTCAGAGTCATGGCGAGAGATGGGGTGTGGGTGGCCCAGCTCAAGGCAGTGTCCACCCTTGGATCATTCCACTGTGACTGGGGCACACCCTTCAGGATGGAGAGGCAGTGGGCTCCAGGACAAGTCCACTTCTGTTACCCAAGCTGACTGTTGGCAGTTCTTCGAGGCCTTCTCTGATCACTCAGTTAAACGAGTTCCTCCCCTGTATCTCCATAGCATTCTACTCTGGACATTTCTACCTGCCTTTTATGAAAGGTTAATTCAGGGCCATCTTGTCTTTCAAGCATGAGCTCCTTAAGGGAAAAGAACCCTGAGAGTATTAGTCTCTCCCTGCCCACTAGGGGTACTCCATGAGGTGATAGGTACTCTCCATGGTGACGGTTGTTTTGATGTGAGGTAATGGACTTAATCCACAAGATAGGCATCTTTAGAAAGTGTTTTTGATGATGATGGGGGTGGGAAAAATGCTGGGATTTATGCCGCATATGTTCTTTAGGTCTCTCTCCTTCTAGCCCCAAGAGGTACTTCAACCTGGCTTGTCCCAAAGAAGTGATCAGCTGTCTGAAAGAGAAGAGAGGATGAGCCCTCATGTTCCATTAGTTTCGAGAGTATTCTGCACATCTTCCTTCTGCCTAGATGACCTCACCTGGTCTCTCTGTGTCCTGTGATTGATTAATATGCAGATTTTCCTTTAGGATATCAACTTACGAGTGAAGTGGCCCAACGATATTTATTACAGTGACCTTATGAAGCTTGGTGGAGTTCTGGTTAACTCTACGCTTATGGGAGAAACGTTTTATATACTTATTGGTAAGTTTTTAAAGCCTTTTCCCCAGCATTTTTAGATTAATAAAAATAAAAATGGTTTATACATGGCTACATGGGGGGAAGTGGATTATCATTTGGGATTACTTTTTCTGTGAGTCTTGAGTTATAGAACAGAATATGTATGCAAAACAGGCCAGATTGGGTAAAAGCACTTCGAGGGGTTTGGCATTCTATCTATGGCCATGGAAACCACCAAATAGGTTTCACATCAAATAGGCGTTTTCTTATACCTCTCCACACTCCTGCTTCTCACTGAATTAGAAGTGGTGAAAATAAACATTTAATGTACCAATTTGTAATAAGAAAAGGAAGTTAATTTCAAGGATGAGTCTCCTGCTGGTCCTGCATTCTTCATTTGACCTTCCCAGGCCATGAAAGAGTTGCCTTCTTTTTAACCTTCAGAAGAAGCTCCAGGCTGGTCAAGGTAGGGTAGAGAGAATGGCCGTTTCATCTCAGCACATCCGTATCAGGCGAGGAAATGGATTCAGAGCAGTTTCAGAAGTTCTTAGGCCCCTGGGCATCCAAGCGTCAGCTTTTCCCTAATGCCCAGGAGGACTTGATTGGTGTTCAAAAATCAGTAATAGACTGAAAACATGCAACCGTGTGTTGGAAGTGCCAGCCAAAGAACACAAGGCTTATGTTCCAGGTCTGCAACCCACTGGCAATATTATTCTGGGCAAGCTGCTTCATATCCTCAGAGCTCTGTTTCCCATCTTTAAATGAGTAATTGTGCCAGATGCAGAGATTTCTAAGTAGGGCCCACAGATACTGAGAAGGCCTAGGGATGGCTTCAGGGAGCTAGGGAATTCTGTCAGTGTAGGGGAAATAAACATTTTCCTGTGGGGAGTATCCGTAACTTTTATTAAATTTTTAAGGCCATGGGAGGTGGTAGGGGGTGATGGGGCATCTTTGGGGAAAGATTGAGTCACCTGCAGGAGTGCTCTCTGGTCCTTGGAAAGACACAGCCTAAGTTGACAGTAGTCAGTGTTGCTGTTTTCCCCAAGACATTGCATTTTCTCAATACAAGGGAGATTTTTCAGCGCTATGTACACGTAATTTAATGCCTTACACTCCATAGGTCCTTCAGCTATTGTGTATGTTGTCAAGTGAATGAACAAATGGACAACTATAGCCCCTGTTGCTATAGTTACTTGTTTTTTTCCAGATGTAATTTACATTGCTTTGTATTTTAATAGCCAGTATATTGGGGGAAAAAAAATCTGAGGCCAATCAGTCCCTCCCTTCACCCTGAAAATGGCTCAGAGCATTTAAAAAAGAATACCGTTATTGTGAATGTCATCGTTCCATCTGAGGCGAGTATTTGGGGAATTTTTTTTCTCAGAGGCACTAAAGATACAATAGTCTTACTGCCTAGTTCTTGCAGTGTTTCATTTCTTATTGAAGACTTCTTTGAGGTTGATTCAGGGCCCTGCTGAAAACTGAGGTTTGGCTTCTCTGAATACTCTAGCCTCTCCCAGAGAGGATGGTGGTGTTAAGTAACAGCAGAGATAAGCCTATTCAGACCCCACTGCTGCTAACTCACTCTCCTGAAGCCTTGGTTTAGGAGCCCGTAAAAGAACCACTGAACATGGGTTGGCCCCTTGCCAACAGCGTAACCCTAGCACCGAAGACTTCCAAGGATAAAATATTAAAAGATGTGTTCTTGGGTTACGCCTTCAGCAAGGTTTGAAATCTCTGAATCCAGAGTTTACTCCTTAAGACCTGAATAAAATTCTCTATCTTCAAGCATGTGTTCTGTTATTCAAGTAGGAAAAGAAAGAAGAGATTTTATTTTATATTGGGCTCAGTGTGGAGTTACAATTCTTGGCGTCATCGTTTCAGAAGCGACTCTAAGAGGTTTTGTCCCATTCATAGCTTCTGTTTCATTGAATCCCACGTGGCTTGCTTTTTCCAACTTATTTGCGGTAAGGTTGGGATGGTTCTAGCTCAGACAAGGATAATAAATGAAAGATGAAAAGGAAGATGTCTCAAAGCTATATCACGCTTTTCATGGCCAAGACAATCAATTTGGAACGAGGAAGAGGAAGCCGGAAGTTGAAAGTAAAAGCTGTAACTTTTTCCCCGTGGTTGAGAGGAATGTGTGCTGCTATCAATAGGTGGAACTGCTCATGTTTTTCAATTATTTGTTGGTTTTTGTCCAGGCTGTGGATTTAACGTGACTAATAGTAACCCTACCATATGCATCAACGATCTCATCGCAGAGTACAACAAGCAACACGGGGCAGACCTGAAGCCCTTAAGAGCTGATTGTCTCATCGCTAGAACTGTGACCGTGCTGGAGAAACTGATTGATACATTTCAGGACAAAGGGCCCAATGGCATTCTTCCCCTTTATTATAAATACTGGGTACACAGGTCAGTGCTGGCTCATCTTCGCTCTTTTAACATTCCTTATTATGTTAATAGTTCAGTGTCTTATAACGAGAAACTAAGCACCAGTCTAGATAATTATTTTTTACCTTTCTGATGGAGAAGCCTGGTGGGGGACACCACCTTGAGCAAGTTAACATCACGGGTACCGGGAGGGACTGGCATCCTGTGCCTGCTGGGGGGATGCAGTGGGAAGGACACAGCATCACTGGAGAGTTTTCCTGCCCAGTATGTTTAAGCTGAATCTAATGTGAGGAAACAGACGATGTAAATTGTAGAACATTCTAGATAACGACGGTTTTCAAAGTGAGATCCCCAGGCGGCAGCAGCAGCAGCCTCACTTGGGAATTTGTTAGAAATGCAGATTCTTGAGTCTGACTCTGGACCTCCTAAATCAAAAACTCGGAGGCTGGGGCCCAGTTCATGTTTCAACAAATGCTCCAGAGTATTCTCTGGCACGGAAAGTTTGAGAAGCACTAACATATACCCAGAGGCCTCTACCCTTCATAATATCTTAAAAAACAAAAAATGAAAAGAAGGTGGGAGAATTGTGTGAGATTAAGGAAGACTTAAGAGGCATGACAGTTAAATACAGTATGTGATTCATAATTAGATCCTAGATGGGAGGAAGTAGTGACAAAGGATATTAATGGGACAGTGGGGAAATTTGAACATGGACTGTAAATTAGATAATGTTATTGTATCAAGATTAGATTTCTTTCTTTTCTTTTTTTTTTTTTTTTGGTGAGGAAGATTAGCCCTGAGCTAATATCTGTTGCCAGTCCTCCTTTTTTTTTTTTGCTGAGGAAGATTGGACCTAGGCTAACATCTGTGCCCATCTTCCTCTACTTTATATGTGGGATGCCTGCCACAGCATGGCTTGATATGCAGTGTGTAGGTCCACGCCCAGGATCTGAACCCATGAACCCCTGGTCGCTGAAGCGGAGCACATGAACTTAAGCACTACGCCACTGGGCCAGCCCCAAGATTAGATTTCTTGAGGGTGATAATGGCATTCTGGTTTTGTAGGAGATTGTTCTTATTCTTAGGAGATACATACTGAAGTATTTAAGTATGAAGTGTCACGATTGCCTGCACCTTATTTTTAAATGTCAGTAAAAAAGCATGCATGTGTGTGTATATGTGTGTATGTGTGTGTGAAGAGAGAAAGCAAGTATGGAAGATGTTATCAGTTGATGTGAATATAACTGAAGGGAATATGAGGTTCATTGTACTATTTTTTCAACTTTTCTGTAAGCTTGAAATTCTTCAAAATAAAAATTTTGGGGGGTGGGAGTTCTGTACTTTAAAAATTGTTAACTAGGATGTAACTCAAGAAGCACAGCTGGAAAATATTCAAAAGAAGTAGTATTAGAATGAGTTTAACTTATAGTTGATGCTACCCAACTTTATTTTATAAAATAAAACTTGTCTTTTCAAGTCAGCTTCTTTTTCCCCAGTCTCAGCCAAGAGAGTTGTATGGTGTTTCTTAAAAGTGCTAGAAGGTGAGGAAGTGGTCAGATCACCATCCCAGATGATCAGAATTAGGAGGAGTAACATCGTTTATAAGAGAAGAAATTCCTAACTCCCTATTGGACTTTCCATCATCCTAGTTATTCTAGTGGTTTTCAAAACCATTCATGCAGGAGCAGTGCAAGTTAGAGCATTTTAACCACATCTAGCCCCAGCCCTCTCCCAAATCCCCAAATCCCTTTGCATAGTGGATAATTACTTAATTGATCGTCTCGGGCCACTGCATTCCATTTCCCAGTGACCGTATGCTGTTCTTCATTTTCAGCGCTCAGCAAGTCCGGCTGGGAGGCACTGAGGGGCCAATGGTGTCGATAGTCGGCCTAGATGATTCTGGGTTCCTTCTGGTTCACCAGGAGGGCGGCGAGGTGGTGACTGTGCATCCGGATGGCAACTCCTTTGACATGCTGAGAAACCTCATCATCCCCACACAGCGGTAGCCCTGTCGCCGGGAAGACAGCCTGGGGCCTGCGGTCCTCGCTCCCTGGGCCCAATGCTTGGGCTGTGGGATAGGGATCAGCAGCTGAGATGACTTGGGGCTGACGGAAGTGCAGAAGCATTCCAGTTCAATTCCTGCCACCTTTCCTAGCCCATGGATTTGGAAAACCAATTTAGAGTTGTAGGCAAATTTTTTCTCTCTCCAATTCATCTGTTTAATTCTTTAATTTTGTTCTGTCTGCTGTCATTTTATTTGGTGTTTGAAGATGTTCTGGAGTGGAGGGTTGACAAGTGGAAGATTTAGTTCAGGTAAAGCCCCACCATAGGTGTAAAATTGTTCTTGCCTCTTGAGCTTAGATGTGTGTTTATTGGCCAAAAAAAAAAAAGTTTTCACATGGAAACAGCAAGGGAATAATTCAAATGTTTTCCCAGTAGTGGAGACCTTTATCCCTAGACTATTAAAAAAGAAATCAAAAAAAGCTCTCCAGCCTAGGCTAGTGGTGAATTAGAGGTTTGGTAACACTGTTTATAAGCATCCAGGGAGGTGTTTTCCTACAGGAACCTACATCGGCACTTAGTCGTCATTTTATTTTTTTGTTAACAAAGAAAAGAGAAGGTAGACCTCTTAAGAGTTACTCTCGGCCTGGTTTGTGGTCCAATAACAACATCTGAATGGCTACAGAGATGCGTCTAGCTGGTACGGCTTACAATGATTTTGTCAAGGAAATCAGTTAATTACTTTGACATTAATTTATGAGCTCTCCTTTCATAAGTTTAAATTTACTGCATACTCTGAAGTGATGGGATCAAGTTCAAGATCCTTAAAGCGTTGATTAGGCATTGCTTGGATGTGGGGGTGGATGATCTGGCTCTAACAGCTGGAGATGAAGCCTCGCTCTCACACCACACGCAAGGGAGGATTTAGAGCTTTTAAGCCAGTTTAAGGCTCGCTTTGAAATGTGGAGCATTCCTGCCAGACTGTGCGGTACACAGAATATAGAAGTACATGGCATTTTATTTGTAAGTCTTAATTTTTTGCCCCTTTTCCCTATATTGCCAAGAAAGAAAATGTTGATACTGAATGCGATCATTTAAGAGGGAGGGTGTGTGTGTGTGTGTGTGTGTGTGTGTGTGTGTGTGTGAGTGAGTGTGTGTATGAAGTTTTAAAAGATGTTCAAACTCTGATGCCCTGTCTCCGAGGAAAAACAAAAGAAAGGAAGCCTTTTGATACACACTTGCTATTTCCAGATGGACTCCATGCTTTTTCCATGTAACTCCTATCTCTATTGAACTTGTGAATCATAGACATTACTTTTCAGCCTCAAAAGGCCCATTTTTGTCCACTTTTCTCTCTTCCTGCCAGTCCCAACTGAAATGAGTGGAAAGAAAACTTGATGGAGCTCTCAGCTTTGAACAAAATCCCCTCATTGTACACCAGCACCATCTTTATCCAGTTCTTACCCAGTCAGGCTAATTCTAGAAACTTGTGGTTTTCAGTATAAAATCTGTCTACCTTTAGCCAGGCACAGGCAGCCCCATAGGAAGGAAAAAAATAACGTGTTTAGTTAAGTACACCAACCCAATATGTGTTTTTTGGAAATGTAACTTTAAAAGAACTTCAAAAGTAATTTTTGCAAATAAGCCTTCAATTAGAATTATTTTTCTAAAAAAAAAAAAAAAAATCACCCTCCAAAATGCCTAAATCTTCCTGTGGAATTAGTGACAAGTTTAAATAAAAGTCCACACCACCCCAAAATTACAAAATGGACTCACCCTTGAGAGGGCATCTGCAAAATATCATCGAGAAGAAAAATCTCCAGGCTAATGTTGCAAGTTTCATTTCTCAAACTTTGTAATATAAGGCAAGTCATCTCTCAGAGCTGCCATCAAGACTTTCTGAATTTCTTTGGGGGGTTATTTAATGAAAAACATGTTTTGTTTTAAGCTGAAGTCCTATTCTAGACAGTTCTGCTTTGGGAAAAAAATGTTATCATTTAATTTCCTTTCTGTAAATTAAAACTAATGACGTGTGGCCATGTCAAAGCAGATGGAGATGTTCCGGGCGGATCGCTTTGCCTCTGTGCTTTTAAGACTGTTCTTACTTGTGCTGACATCCAGTTGTCTTAAGGGAGACAGAATGGACTAGAAGCAGATGCTGCATTTTTCACAAACCTGATTTTGCCAAAGACTTGAAATTCTGCTTCGGATAGAACAGCTGAATCAAGGCATTTTACTTACAGCTGTTAGCATTAGGGAAACCTATCTCCTTGCTACACTACACTCCTGGATTTGGAGTTTATGCACCCAGCAATCTGTGATCTGAAGGAGCTTTCAAGTCTTAATGGAAAACCTTGCATTTTCTTCTTAGTCTTTAAAACACAGCAACTAAACTAAACTAAGCACAAGATTGGCGTGTGCTTTCAGGATGTTGAATTATCCCCCAGTTTAGAGGCTGTGCATTGAGCATCTATCAGGTTATGTAAGGGGCAAGACATCCTCCCTTCTGGGCTGATAGCAGATTTCAGAGGAACTCTTGGAAAAATGCCCCCTAAAACAGGACACGGCAACAGCTGGGCTTCCGGTGGCTCCCCACCAGAGCAGTGCTCCTTGGCACTGGGCATCCTGGCTGTGTTCTCAGGGCGTGGGCAAAGTAGGAAGGATTTGTGTTTGGTGTAAAGTGGTCGGTGGGGTTCGCTGGTCCAGCACTGTGACTGCCTGACATGGGAGCAAGTGGCCGGACGAGGGGTGGGTGCACAGGCCCAGGTGGGGGAAGCCTGCAGCCTGCAACCCCCCACCCCCCAGATATACACATGGGGACACGGGAAGGCCTACGTAGTCACCCCCCACCCTAGAGTCTGGGAATGAGAGAGAAGCCAGCCTTGCCCAACACTTTGAGAATGCAAAAGGGAGGCATTTTAGGCTTATTCTGTAGATTTGTTTGCTTTTAACAGGGAGAAAACTGAGAAACCTTATTCCTGGGTAATTACTATGCATATTTGAAATAAAAGAAAGTGTAAACCTTTGCATTTTTAGCTTTTCAAAGATTCATCTCTGAAAAGCAGTTGCTTTAAGCCAATGCCTATAAAAAGCAGGTCTACCAAAATAAACTTTAAGACTTTCTATATAGTTTGGGCTCCTCCTTATTTTTACCGCAAATTTCATTTTTAAAAATAGGCAACTACTTTTGGTTACAGTATTTTTATTCATATTTAAACATTTTTACAAAATAAATAGTTTTACATAGTAAGGAATATGTATGTATTTCTAAGTATTAAGAAGCCGGGTGCTTTTTTTTTTCCTTTTTGATGTATTTTTGACAAATGTATTATGCATCATACAAAAGAGAAATCGTATTACTCCAAAGAATGAAAGTTAGCAAAACCCAAAAGTAAAAAAAAAAAAACCTTTTAACTGAAGTGAGAAATAAATTTAATCATAATTTAATGTGTTTTTAAATTTGAAAATAAATTTAATGTAACAACAAATTTAATATAAGAACAGATTTTTGTTCTTGTAGAATTTTTCTTATTCTTTTGTGAAAACTGCTTGACTTTTGTCTCAACAGTTTTTCCCCCAAGACTTTAACCTTAGATATCACACTTAAGTTTAGGAACAGCTTGAATAATGCATTTGATAACCCACAGGCTACGATTCACTACAATTTTAAGCTACTGTAATTTTCTGGCGTTAATTTGAAGATGTTCTTTTTATTGCATTTTATCCATGGCAGCCCCACAGTCTACCTTAACTGTCTTACAATCAATTACAACTTCAGGTGGACTTTATACAGGATTGACCGTATAAACCTCTCCCACCCTTAGGGTTAGGGTGCAAGGGAGGAAGGGGTGGCCCATAGGACTTTAAAAGGACAAAAGAGGTGGGGGTTCAGGGAGTGGGCTCTGAACAGCCCTTCACACCCTGTTCACTTCTCTACAAAGGTATGAATGGAATGGCTTTTCTAGAAAGGGCTTCCGTGAACATAAAGGAATTCCTTTCCCTGGGAGGCCCCATGGAAGGCCTAGCCAGTCTTGAACTGGGCTTATTTCTCAAATCCATTTGATCTGGCATTTTTGTCAACATGTTAGGACTCACTACAATTTTTTTCTTCTTTTTTTGTGAAAGGGAGGCATATTTATTAAAAATGCTACCTCTTCCCCTGCCAGAGCCTCACAGAAGTCGAGAAACGACGTCCCCAGCTTGAATGTGCAGCGTCTTAAAGATGGAGGTAACAATATTAGGTTACCATAGTAACTCCTGTTAACTTTGCATTGAGCGGCTGGCCGTCTGGAAGCCGGCTTGTGTAGGAATCTTCCTTCACGTTCTAGGCTATGAAAACTGTGATTTTTTTTTAAACAAGGAAGTTTTCTCTAGTACACATTTTGCCAGTACATACACACTCGTGTTAAGCCTAGTTACGTTATCATTTGTAAATTTATAACGGTAAACACGGTAACCTTGGATCTTAAACTGCTCTGAAAGCCTTCTGGATTTGTATTTACTGAATACGGCCCTTAATGGTTAATAACAAGGTAGACACAAAAGCATTTTGCGGTACTTTATTGAAAAACGACAGTCGATATCTCCTGCTCATGAAACCTGCACTTTCCAGAAATCATGGTTTAATTGCGAGACTCGTGAGCATAAAAAATAATACCCCAGGCTTATTTTGTGTGTACACATTCAAACAGCTGCTAATGAGGTATAGCTATGTGCAGTATAGAGGTGTATGCATCCGATTCTTATGACCCAGCCCCTTCGCTGCACGGCGCATGTGCCTAAATTTGCAAATTGTACCATAAGGCAACTGATACCACGCGAGGGCACGGGTCAGGTCCTCATATGACACTGGCTTGGCAACGGATCGTTTCACATTTTGAGAACAGTCGATGTAGGTGCACTTTGATTCTAGAACGATGAGTTAAAAACATTTGTGAAAAGCCTTTCCACTCAGAAAGGTGGAGCTTCCTGAAAGTAAACCATTTTTGAAAAAGCGGCAGAATGATGGAGTGTTTATAGTGTGGA